GATGGTTGACTATTTTCCTGTTCTGTGCATGGCAAGATTTATTTATCCAATCTCAAGCCATAAAGGGCATAAAGCTCTGCATGAGTTATGTTTCCTATTGCCAAAATTTACTTTCTCAAGCCTAATATATTGCTCAAAAAGTTTCGCAATTGCTCAAAAACTCGCAAGCTACGTAGTCATAAACCTATTTCGTCTGTTCGCGCTAACTGAAATTATTTTTGGTTACCTGCAAAAAAAGTAAATTTTTCAAATTAATTTATAAAATTTTTCATTCTTTTGTTTTACCACCAGAATCAAAAGCAGAGGAGTATCAATATGAAATAGACAACACAAACCCAATTTCTGATGTCTCAGACTCAGAATATAGTTTTTTCGTTGGCGAAGTTAGTGGGCTAACGTTTGATAATAGGTACATGATTTTTTTTAAATTATAAAGATTTATACTGTTTAATATAATTAAAAACAATTCCGACGTGTTTTCTCGCGAATTATGATATATAAATACATAAGCATATAAATATATATATGTAACAAACAGAACGGCTACGTTTGAAGAAGTTTATTAAAAAAATATATCAAATACAAAAACTAAATTTTCGGCTGCATGTCACAGCCTTCATCACTCTGATGAAGGCTGTGGCATGCAGCCGAAAATAAAGTTTGTTGCGACAAAAACATTTTAAGTATTAATAACTCGCTCTATTTTGTAAACTCTTCACTACATGTACGTTCGACGAAACTGAATTATATATATATATATATATATATACATATATATATATATATATATATATATATATATATATATATATATATATATATATATATATATATATATATATATATATATATATATATATATACAAACATATATATACAAACATATATATATATACAAACATTCTATTGTTCTTTTAGCATTACTATTAATGAAGAGGGTGGATGTTTCCGTGTCCCCGTGGCAAGTGCTTTCCTCCTATTTCCCCCAAAAGCTGTTGAGAAGGAAGTAATTCTAACGTGTAATCGAGTGAAGCACGAAAAATGTGAAGTAAAGCCAAGAGACGGGGATTTATTCGTCAGCCGAATTCTTTGTATTGAACCTGAAGGTGTGACGTTTAAGAAACCTGTGACGGTTCTTCTATCCCACTCAGTCTACGAGGACCAGGTTTTTGAGGATTTTTATGAGTTGATCATTGAACATTTAAGCCAGAACAGATGGCAAGACTTAAAGACGGAACGAATAAGCTCTATTCAAGGTACGGATTAATTATCACGTCTTACTATACGTACTATTTAAACACGAGTAGCAGTGCGCCTCGGGATCTTATACCTGAAAAAAGACGTACTATATACGAGTAATTTAAATGGCGTAAGAAACGACCAATCTTATGAGTTCATTGGCGAAGTAATTTTAAAAATTAACGTTGTCTATATATAAGCCGAGAAAATCAAAGCTAAATTTTATTTAAATGAGCATGATTTTTTATCACGTATGAAACCACCGACACGACAGTGATTTCCTCCGTCTTTTCCTCATGAATTATTAATTATTTTGTTAATATAATATATTATATTATATAATATACCCAACAAGGAGTGTTTTGTTATTGTTTTTCGAAGTATTTGAAGAAATTCCAGAAAATCAGTTATGTGTTAACCATTATGTGTTACCGTGGTATCATGCAAATCGATATACAGCATTAATTTTCTTTGTGTTGTGCTCATAAATTATTAATCGTTTAACACATCTGAATAAATATATTGCACGAAAACTGTTATAGTGAGATTGAGTGACTGTACATAATGAAATATGAATTAATGCATCAGGGCAGTGGTTTTTTCCGAGTCTATTATTATACAGTCAACCCAGAGGAGGAGTAAGGACTATACCGGCATGCAACGCGGTCAGGCGCGGTTTTTTACATATTATCGATTTCTCGCTCTGCGCCGTCATTGTTCGGTCGGCTCTCGCTGTGTTTACACCTCGAGGATTCGAGCGATTCGGAAAAGATTTATAGAAAAAAATTGTAAAATGGTTAATTCTTGCGCTATTCGTGGAAAGAAAGCTTCGTTTTTGGGTGGACACGAGCTTCTGTTTGTTCACTGTGTGTCAAAACAGCCTTTAATCTTGATTCCGGAAGGATTACCGTGTGATGATTGATGAACTTGAAATGTCGTGAGGTTCATGTTTATATATTAGTTTTACGGAATACAGATAGTCTGAAGAATAGTCCTTTGTCCAGCTGTGGTTAATGGGATAAAAATTGATGAAATTGTTCCC